GGGAATAATGGCTGCTTGCAATGTCCTATTACCTATTTCACAATTAGTCTTAGCGAGATAGTTGTATGCGCGCCTCTCTATGACTGTTTTGTCCACCCCGACCTTTATATGTTTGTAGTTTCTGGCTTGCGATAGGGTGTGTTGGGAGTGGATGAATTTTCTGGTCTCTGACGGTGTTTCGAACTGAAAACGAATAGGACAACACTTTTCATGTTGACTCTTCTTCAGCCTATAGCACTTAGTCTTGGAGTTAGGCATTTTCGCTTCACTAAGTAAGATGCGCTGTACCTTTTTTAGTGCCTCATTGTCCGGAACGTTATAGACAATAGCACTCAGTTTTGCGTCGAGTCGTTTTGTTACTTCTGTGGTAACAAAATTAATGAGGTTATCTACCTTAGTTACCGATTCTGTGTCAAGCTTGTTAAGGTTTACAGTTTTCATGAGGATAGTTAGAGGTGTCAACTCACAGACCTGCGATCTGATATCGCTGATCTGATCTGATAATTTGGATATCTCGGCATCGGTTTCGATGTTTCCAGCATTTACTGACTTACTGTTTTTTATTTCCCTTAGCTCAGCCTTAAATTCATCTATAGACAACTTTAGAAGTTCTATTTCTGAAGACAGTGCTGAAAAAGAGCTTGATGGCTGGAGCTTTTCGATAAGCACATAAGGTGAAGGGAGGAGTTCTGTATGAGCAGAGGGTACTGAATTTTTAGGAGTAGTGCCAAAACTAGCTGTCAGTACAGTTTTATCCTCAGTTCCAGCTCGACGCTTACAGCATACAAGTGAGTTATGTGACTCATTATAGCCGTTTGTTGGGGGTGTGTTGCTTGATGTAGCAATCAAGGACGTAAAATTAGACACCAGTTTTACAGGGGAATGGGTTCGTCGCTTTTTACTTTGATTAACCATAACTATCAGAAATGAGAGTTAGTGGTTACAAGTATGGAAGTGGTATAGTACTTGTGCAAGTATTACAACAAGATAAATTTTATGTAACGAATCACGTAAAAATGTAACGCAAACGTTGAACGTATCGCGATACAGAGTGGTTCTATGGTTCTATTTCTGTAACAATTTGATGATGCCCGTAAACTGGCGTCCCTCGTGTACCGTACTACAGGAATAAATTTATTTATTTATTTACAATCATCGAAGGTCTTCCAAACCTTTGACGCAGGATACGCATCGCCTCAGTATATCCTTCGTTTGGGAGCATAACCTTATAGCGCTGTATTGCTCTTGAAGCTTTTCCAGTGCAGTTCCTCAACAAATACATTAACTTCATTTCGTCATTTAAAATAAAACCGCTCAGCATGACCTCAAACTCTTTTACGAACTGTGGGTAGTCGGCTGGGTTTCCATCAAAGTACCGAGGTCCAAACTTGGGGAATCTTAAAGCCCTACTATCCCTAAACAGCGAAGCGTGAACATCAGACTCATCATGCTGAGCATCATACATATCATTACAATTAACAGGCAACTCATCGTCACTTACTTTTTGTCTGCTTCCATGGTGCCACGTCTCTTTCTTGACCCAGGCATCATCCAAAATCACCAAAGAATCCCAACTGCGTTGATAATCCGTGTCCAAAGAGATGCTGACTGCACACCCAGTAAGTAATCCTGGAAGTTCCAGAAGGCGCTTCAGAAAACAGCAATCTTCAGCCAAAACGTCACTATTTCAAAATCGCCACAATTACACTTTTCAGAAATGAGGACACACCACCAGGTCTTTCCTCCTATATATCATTCGCCAGTTACACTAAGCAAAAATGAAGCAGTTTTGGTATTAACGGGTGTCTACAAGAAATGCATGCCATTTCTACCGGCATGATCAGTTACGTTGTAAACTACAATCCTGAAGCATCATTAATGATTACTTTTTCGAAAGTTTATGTTGTTCAATTATTGTACAAACAACCAGAACAGATTCTTATAAATTTTAAACTGTAAACCTTCCACTAAGGTTACAATCAAATTTTAGTGACAACCAAAACTCCGTTCCATTTCCTGTTGATAGTCATGGTCAGTCAGCGATCAGCGTATATTTCGGTAAGTGCTATGATGCCACGTGATTAAAGGCTATTTCAGGAAGAGAAGAACGTCCTGGGAAGCTTTCAAAAGGTATCGAATGCAATTACGGATAATACATCATTGGAAATACACTTACAAGATTTATACAAGAAGGAATTGGAGGCTGCCTGGAATGGAAGTATACATTTGCAATGTTTAATGCTAACCATATTGGTCCATGGTATTTTTGATGAAAACAGCTTTACCGCAACATTGGTATTCAAGTATTAACTAGTAGGGATTTGATTGGTGTTGCTATGCTTTTCATCAAAGCAACCAGAATTTTAACAAGGGACAAATATGAACAAAAAGTAATTTTTAGATTTAATAAAGGTCTATGCAGTTAAGATAATGGTGCGTAAATAAAAAAGTTAGCGTGAGGTAGACAAGCGATATTTCAGCGATAGCTGAATTCAAAGATCTGGAAGATTAGAGCCCGTAGGACAAGCTGAACTGTTAGATGTCTCACGAATTTGTTCGGGGCCCGTGGGGTAGCATCTTAAAAAGGAGCTGAACAGGCCTGTAGATGGTAGGAGCAAAAGCAAATTTTTATAATTTAGATCTGTACAACCCTTATTTTTTCCTTTTTCGTTAAGGATCCAGACCAATGTCTAATTACGGAGCTGTCAAAAAATGCTTTTTTCTTTCCTGCAGATCGGAGCGATTCTCATTTGCGACCACTACCACTTGTGCGCAGTGTTGTGTCATATAAATTGTTGTAACCTATGTAATGTGTTTACCGACACTATCCCATTACCTTTCCATGTATACATACACAATCCTGTTTTGGAGAAATATCGTAAATATTTTTACTCCATATTTATGTTACTTACTATATTGATGGTGCCTGTAAAGTGACGTCCCTCATATACATAAACTGAAAATATAATATTATTATTATATATATTATATATTATTTATGTAAGTACATTACAGACATTATTATTACTGAAAGTGCTCTCTTGCAGTTAAAATGACCTGTGCATTGTATTCCCTTTGTCACTATCAATGCTGAAAATCTCTGACTGTGGACAGTCAGATTTTAATGGGAGCAGGGCGTTACTACATCAGTGTATTACATGAGTACGTTCCTATAACCTCTGCATGCGCCGTCAGCTAATTACATCCATCATCACTTGAGGCCGTTCTAGGTATTAGTTCAAGGTAGATCAGACTAAGTAATCAGGCATTTAGGTCACCACAGCTCACACCACACAATAATTGTGACCACTTCTCTGGTCGAAGCCGACAGGCGAAAGAGATTACAGGAGTTTAGTCAACGTAACTGACTGACCTCATAGAAAAGAAGATGGACTTGAAAATGCAGTGGAAACGCAAGTGTATGAATTGATACCAGTGGAAATGCAGTCATTTCGCCACTAGGGATGAAGCCTAACTGCTGCAGTGAAAACGCAGGATATATGAGACGTGCTGAGAGACACATTTCGTCTTTGATCGAAAGCATAGTCGCACATAGTGCCTCGCCTTCATCACAGATTAATATACCTGAGCATGGAACTTTATGACAAATCGCTGCAGACAGGGTCTCTTAAAAATGTGTTTTGTTATTCATAACATAGGGGGGCGCGTGAGGGGGACCTGTTGAACATTTTCTAACATTAGAGGTAATGTTATTTCTTGCTACAAAATCCGTCGTTACTGTTCATAGTTTGTACAAAGTATGCCGAAAAGTTACCCTCACTAAACTGACAGTCTATACTTCTTGTCACAGTTAGCCTACACCATCAAAAGTAATTCGAGGAAATGGAGTTGAGAGAAGGACGTCAGCAGCGACAGTGTGAGCGTATATTCCACGAGTGTTACACGTGTCACCATCAACAGTATTATTATTCGACCTTCGTTGGACTTCATCTTATTACAATCAGACCACACCAAGTGAATGTCAGGAACAGGGTTTGTCTGACTTTTGAAGTCTATATGGAGATATCTTTGGGTTTCAGCACATCACGTCAGAAGTTAGCCGAAAGTTTATTAGAATATGATATGTAATGAAGTAAATTTTTATTTGTCCAGTGTAACCCGCTATGTAATACGTAGTTAGCCTAAACGATAAAGTGAACTACTTGAGGCACATAATAAACTACTAAGTAATAATAATATATATATATATTCTCATTTTTGTACATGAGGGACGCCAGTTTAAAGGCATCATCAATTCGATAAATTACGCATACGATTAGTAAGCATAGTAAGATAATATAATAAGGTACGTATTTTTTCCCAGCTATTTAAGATACACCAGTTGTATAGGCATGCATATTGTATAATTTACATGATTTACGGCTGCTGTCATCTTGACCTTAGTTTGTAGGAAAAGTGAGCCACTACATGTAGTAACTCAACTCCCGTAGCATCAAATCAAAAAGCACTGAACCATTATGTAGCGTAAGAATCAGTGAGGCTTTCCCCAATTCTTCTAAATATAAAATTGCAAAATTTTACTTATCTTGCATCAGGAGAGCAATTCTATATGGGCTTTCCGATGATGAATAATCTCCATCCAACTACTAGTGAAACTGAGTAATAAAATGTCAACACACTTACCAGTCTCCCCTAAAGAAGGAAGTTTTGTATGAAAGTGGTGATGGACGCGTTAGCTGACACTTTCAAAGGAAGTCCACATATCTACTGCGAATCTGACAACATCCAGCGTGAATCCCATTGATGGTTTATTTGTTCTTCAGGTTCACTAAAACAGTTATAAATTCTGTATTTAACATTTATTCTACTTCAACACTGATTATAAAACATACGTGCTGTATATATATATGGAAAAAAATTTCCAGTACAGAAGACACAAATTTTAGGGATCATTCAGGGGATTGTTTAACCAGTCGAAGTCAGAATTTCTCATAAGTAAATTAATGTATTCAGCCTTCATTATTCGAAAAAGCCTTATGTATACATATATATCTTAGCCACACGTTTCTTTCACAAATAAATTATAACTTCAGGAAGTGGTTTGTTTGAATACACGACACGTTGCCACGTTTTTAAACGTATCGCTTCGGCTGCAGAAATGTTGGATTTCTTCGTAATTATTACAAAAGGTGGAATCCGTCTGTGGTGCTTTCCTGGATCGACGGACATATTCAGACTATCTATAAATACATTCTTAAAATCACTTATTCTCGAGGTTTGTTCACTCAGTTTTTTTTAACTCTCTTCTAAAGGAAAATGCTGGTCGCTCACCTTTCGTATGTGACTCAAGAGCCATGAAATTCTACATGGACAATGAATTTAATCTATTGTTTGTTGTAAGTACAAGTAAAATTTATGAATCTTGCAGGCTGCTTACCAAAATGTCCTTCAACTTAATTACGTAGACAAGTTTTTAACAGATATCGCTCTGGAATTTAGAGATAAGTATAAGAATCAACTTGAAAGTCACGATATAACTGGTTCGTTCGAGGAGTTTCTGCCTGTTTATCAGGCTATCCTTAGGAAAACTGAAGATGAGTTTCGAAATGTTCGTAAAAGTGCCAAGTAAGTTGTAGCTTAATCCTAATTCCTCTTCAGACAGATGCGGAAATTCGAGGATTCCGATAAGTCAAAAAAGACAGTTGCTTCTATGATTGTACGAAAAGGCAAGAATGTTGAAAGTGACACCAAGGACGTCCCAGTTGTTACGAAGGAGAAGATAGTTAACTCTGAACCCAAATCTGATGGTACTGTGCATTTCAGACTCTGACTTAGTTTCTAGAGCCAGTAACAGATAATCTCGACACTTTGGAGCAAAACAGACTTAAACTAGCCGCTAAACTCAAGGCTTCAAAGAAGAGTAAGGAGTCAAAAAGGTAGGTTTCTTGTTCTCACACAATTGATTATTACATTTTTTTTATTGTTCTTGGGTATTGTATCCTCTTCTAAGGATCCCCATTTTAATCCATTCCTGGCTGATAAAACTTAATTGTTGGCTAGTAGTTGTGAGTTCAGCTGAGGAATAGGTGAGCAGAAGCTTAAACGCCCCGTAAAACTTACCCTAAAGGGATTTCATCCCAATGTGTTTATGAATTTAAAGTGTCTATAAATAATGTTTATCGTGACTTAAGGCTATAGGTCCGTGAGAGTACGAAAACCGTCTATATATGTGCTTTTCCTAGGTAAAATTTATTAGGTACCGTGTGTCTTGCACATATATTCCTTCATATCGTACTTTTTGTGCACCACATGATATCGATTGAGCCTAGATAGCCTTGAGAAATGTAAACCGCCAGGTATTTTGCCTTATACTGCTTTTAGATATTAGTTCCAAAGCAACTAAATTACGTGCAACGTGCGATTTCGTCATAGTTTAAAGTGATCATATTGTTTCCCTGTTACATAATTCACAAGTGCTTCCTTTATTTCATATTTGGTTTGGACCGGGCAGAAATCCTGATGCTTAGTGTTACCATACTACTTGATCAGCTGTGATATCAGTCGACCATCTTGTTATGATATAGCAACTGTATTCCCATCAGGAGACAATGGTGTTTTTATGTGTTCTGTAAAACTGTGACTAGACCAATGTTTAGTTTATTTTGGTGCATCGTCTGAAAACTGTAAGGTTAATATCGATACAACTTTTTGACATTATTAAGCATGCTTTCATCTATGTGAATACCATTTGTTAAGATTACTGTAGCACATGGGCTCCATTGGCTTTTACCGTCAAGTTAGAATCTGCAAAGTGTTTTGCTTCTACTCCTTTCATTATAGTGTAGTACATATTAAAAATAAGTCGTGTTTCTCTGGTTCATTTTCAACACTCTTAAATTAGTCGTTTTTCTTATCTTTTGGCAATGTGACTGTTGATAAAAAAGATGAAAAAGCGTTTTAATTATTTCATGTAAAATGGTTATATATGATTATGTACGATTTTGTAGTTAAGTTTGTCAGACAGCTTGTAACTTCACAGAAGTCTTGTGCTTCTCGACCAAGTTTTATGTTAGTTTGATTGATTTTAATCATACGACTTTGCATGAAATTGCAGCAGTTCAAGTTGCCGCGTGTTTTTAAGAGACTATCAGTAGTGTTTTTCCAGCTGTCGTCATTATCAATAGGTGGTCGTAGAAGAGAGAATGAGGTATCCGCCTGTGGAATAGAAGGAAAGAGAGATGATGAAAATGGCATAGATAAAGGTGGGTGATAATTAGGGGGGGAATTTGTGCTCTTCTAGAAGTGTGCGTGGACGGTTTTTACTTCCTGACTGTCGGCAGCACTGAAGCTGATTTTTTTTGGGGTGGGGGCACCTGAAACAGAGGGTTGGTGTTGTCTGACCACAGAGCCCAGGGGACAACTGCTTAAGACTGGCTACATACGACCTATTTAAAGTGGTTTTTCGAATTGTGTTCGTATGAAGGTCTTACTTCTGGTTATCCCGACCAAAAGCTGCTACCTTGACGTGTGGTCGGGCTTGAACACCGCAATGACCTAATCAAGCTATACTGGCTGAGACTTATGTCTCTTGAGGTCCTACCATGCCAGGCAGGTTGTTTGGATAGCGGTTAAACAAAAAGCAGCTACCCAATCCAACATCATGTCCAATACAAAATCACAAAATTTCATGCCGGATCGGCCGTGGCCCGGATTAACAACGACCGCGCTTCCTGCTGCCGTGTCACAGGGCAGGAGTGATAAATATGCTACTGAGACACACCAAACAAAAGAGAACGAACAAAAACAGGCCGCGTGTGACCGGCCTCAAGCAGTTGTCCCCTGGGCTCTGCGGTCACGCAACCAACTTCCACGGTGTGGGCAGCCGGGAAGTAACAATCGCCCTCACAATCCGAAATGCACACGAAACCTCTCTATTACTCACTCATCTTTGTCTTCATCTTCATCTCTATCATCTTGCCTTCCTTCCACTGATGCAACTCCTCGACTTGATAGCTCTCCACTTCCTCTCCACTCTGCGTCCACTAAAAACGATGGAAGCCAAAAAACCACCACCGACAGCCTCTTAAAGCCGCGCCACCAATTTCATATAGGAGCTCTTAATGTTAGGACACTTTGCCAAATAGGACAACAAGCATCACTAGCCAAGACCCTGGCATCACGAGCCATTGATGTATGCTGTGTTTCAGAAACACGCATACAAGACCCAAGTGTGGTTATTCACCTAACCCCACCTGGCCAACAGGTTGAATCTGCAAAATTCACCTTGAGGGTGTCAGGAGATGCCACAGCTAGTTCACGAGGATTAGCTGGCGTAGGGATAGCTTTGAGTACTAGGGCAGAAAAGACATTGCTTGACTGGATCCCGGTAGATAGCCGAATGTGTGCTGTCCGCCTGAACGGATCAGTAAGAAGGAGGAAGGACTGCACTACTCGCCGATGCCTTTTCGTAATCTCCGCCTACGCCCCCACTGACTGCAGTTCAGATGAAACGAAGGATGAGTTCTACCAAAAGCTGTCTAGTTTGGTGCGAAAGGCTAAACGCTCAGACATAGTCGTTCTAGCTGGTGACTTTAACGCTCAAGTAGGGAAATTGTGTCAATCTGAGAAGGATGTCGGTGGCACCTATGGAGTTCCGTGCCAGCGAACCGACAACGGTGACCGTCTCCTACAGTTCTGCTCTGATAATCATTTGTTTCTTGTAAGCACTAACTTCAAACACAAGGAGAGACACTGTTTGACTTGGAGACCCCCTTCATCAAACCAACGCTGGACACAAATAGACCACATAGCAATAAGCTATCGTTGGCGTGGGTCGGTAGGAGATTGTCGCTCCTTCTGGAACACGTGCGTAGATACCGACCATGCACTGGTCCGCGCTCGGGTGTGCTTACGACTGAACGGACGTAGGAAACAGCTGGCGGTAAAACCATCACGTCCCCAGCTCGATCAGGAAACTAAATCCGTATTTGAGGAAGAACTAGCTAAACACATATCTGTGTTCGACAGCTGTGCTCACCCTGAAGAAGCTTGGAAAAATATCCAGGCAGCCATAGATACAGCTGTAAAAGCTGTGAATAAGGTAAACCCAAAGGTGAGTAAAAACCACTGGATCTCCACCGCCTCATCCGAACTGATAGATGCTAGAAGACTTATTCCGGCGAGCTCCGAATTCAATGAGGAGCGAAAGCTGCACAAGAGGAAACTTACGAAAAGTCTCCGCAAGGACCGTGAACAGTGGTGGGCGACAAAAGCCAAAGAGATGGAGAAAGCTTTGAGGATAGGCAACACCAGGCAACTCTTTGGACTCATCAGGGAAACGGGTGGGAGAAGACAAATCATCAGTGAGACAATCTCGGAAAAAAATGGCACTATAATTAGCTCACAGGATAGACGACTGGATCGTTGGAAAGAGCATTATGAGGAGCAGTTTAATTTGCCCACAGCCACGCTCAACCTTCCGAGCATCCAACACCTCCCTGAATGGGATATAGACACAGGTCCTCCGTCACTAACTGAGGTTACTAAAGCTGTCACCAATCTGAAACTAGGCAAAGCAGCGGGACCTGATGGAATGACTCCAGAGGTATTTAAGTACGGTGGAGACAGCTTACTGTCCGGATTAACTGAGGTACTAGGCAGCGTCTGGGAATCAGAAGAAGTCCCATCGGGTTGGTGTAAGTCACTGATTATCCCCATATACAAGAAGGGAGACAAGTCTTCCTGTGATAATCACAGAGGGATTAGCTTGACTAATATAGTATCTAAAGTCTTAGGCTCAATAATCATGCGTAGACTGAGTGGTGCTCGGGAAGCACAAACACGAGAGAGCCAGGCAGGCTTTAGACCAGGAAGAGGGTGTATTGATCATATCTTCACCCTCCGACAGATTCTAGAACATAGGCATTCCTACCGGCGTCCAACAGTCATTATATTTCTTGACCTAAAGGCAGCATTCGACTCTGTCGATCGGGAAGTTCTCTGGAGATGCTTGGCTGTAAAGGGAATTCCGAGAAAATATATTGCACTGATTAAGGCACTCTACTCGTACTCATACAGCCAGGTGAGGGCTTACGGCGAGCTGTCATCTGAACTGATGACGACCAGTGGTGTCCGTCAAGGATGCCCATTATCTCCTTTTCTATTCAACTTCATCATAGATGTGTTAATGGACTTAACCCTAGGTGACTTCAGCGACTCAGGGATTGACTTGCTACCGGGAATAATCTCGTTGACTTGGAATATGCAGACGATATAGTCCTTCTAGGCGAAGACGCTGACGAAATGCAGAGTCTTCTAAACACCTTGAGCCGCAATCTACGAATGTTTGGCATGCGATTCGCTCCCGCCAAATGCAAGATGATGTTACAGGACTGGACTACATCGACGCCTAGTTTAAAAATAGGAAGTGAAGTGGTAGAGCACGTTGACCGCTTCACTTATTTGGGAAGTACCATCAGCCCCAACGGGCTGATCTCTGACGAAATCTCAGCACGAATACAAGGGGCTCGTTTCGCATTTGTTAGTTTACGCCGACTCTGGCGTAGACGAGATGTTCGACTATCGACCAAAGGGCGGGTGTACTGCTCATCAGTCCGCTCCGTCCTCCTTTATGGTTGTGAGACCTGGCCACTGAGAGTGGAAGACATGAAAAGACTAGCTGTCTTTGATCATAGGTGCCTGCGTTCTATTTCCCGTGTAAAGTGGCATAATAAGGTGAGCAACATTGAGGTTAGGCGTAGAGTTCTAGGTAAACAGGGGAAATCAATCGACGAAGTCGTGAAGCTACAAAGACTGAGATGGTTAGGACATGTGTTACGTATGCCAAGCCATCGCCTCCCTCGACGAGCAATGTTAGCGGATATAGGGTCAGGCTGGAAAAAAGCTAGCGGCGGTCAAACAAAAACTTGGCATCAGTCAATGAAATCCACAACAGTTGGTCTAAGCCACGTAGGAAGGTGTAGACTTCCAGGCTGGGGTCCTCGGGACGGTAAAAATCTATGGTTGGAAACAATTGGTGACATGGCTCAAAATCGTTCTCAGTGGCGCAGATGCATCCACTTCCTGTGACTTATGATCTCCAATGAAACTGTTTTGTTTTTCTTTATTACTCCTTTGTCTCACACCTCTGCTCACTGTTTCTATTATGCTTTTCTTGTACTTTCTTCTCTTGCTTCGCGTGCTACACGGAATGTGGCGACTTGAACTTCCGCACATTTGTGCAAAGTTCTATGTCGAAAACAGACAGACAGACTTCTGGTTATGGATCACCGCAAGGTAAATCGGATTGTAAATTTCCCAGGGTCGACGTTTTCTACACCCGTCCCTCTCACTACAGCAGAGGGGCTAGCATAGCCCGCTTGCTGGTCATCTGAGGGAAACAAATTACTGCTGGTACATCCATATTCCACCAAAAGTATGACTTCGCCCGCACCGTAAATATATTGTAAAAGCCTTACACTATGACGGTAATTTCTTGGAGTCTAACTTCTATCCAAAAGACTTTCTTGGCAATGTAGCTTCGGTGTAGCTCGATGCGATATGCTATGATTCACCACCATATCGAGCTGGCAGCTATCGGTTGGGTCATGTTAGCCTAATAGGTTGGCTCTCCCTAACTCCATGAATTGAGAAACACCGCTTTCAGTGAATGACTTTTAACCATTAGATTCCGATTTGCAACATGTGATATCTTGTTGTTTAAACCTGAATCTAACGCTGGCAAAAAATTGGTGGAAATTGAGTCGCACTTTATCCGGGCCCTTCATGATGATGCAGATGGTTGGATATAAGTGGTCTCACTAAAATGCTTATTTTATTCATGGAAAACTCCCATTTGAAGATGTAGAAGACCAAAACAAGTGATTCAGCGAAGATTCTTCTCAATAGTGAATTTATTATCAAGCTGCACAATTGTATACACATGGTTTTTAAGAAATTATATCCCATGAGGGAATTAAAACAAAGGTGTGAATACATAAAATAATAGTAGTGGTAGTAGTATGAGATACAATTAAAATATTTGTGATTATAATCATAGATATCAATTATCAAGTGGTAAAACAAAAATAAGGTCATATGTAAAACGGTTCATAAGACGTACAGATTTTGGAAGGGTGTGTAAAATTATAGGATTAATAGGTAAATAAAAACGTTACGCAGTGTGATGTGAAATTTGATAGCATAGAATTTAACATAGCAGAAAAAAACAATTTAGAATGACAGGCGGGACAAGTGAAATAATATTGGAGGCAGTTCAAAGTGAGAATAATATTAGTAGTAATAATCAACATAATGAGGGAAGGATGTGTAAATTGAATAAACAAAACGAAAAGTAAATAGAGTCAAAGTGTGACTGGGGATTTTCATAATTTAGCATTGCATACTGTGCGTCGGTGGCACAGCGGTAGAACGCTCGCCAACCACGCCCCATGTGGTCTGGGGTTCGTTCCCCGGTAGACTGACGCACTCCTTTACCTCCCTAAGCCAGTAATAAGACTGGTAAAGACGGAAGGTTGGGGGGAGTGCATGAGACTAGCAACCCCATCCCATAAAAATAAACACCACTGCTACCGAAACTTCAAGCCTCTAGCTTGAAGGTACCGCCCTATGTTCCACTGAGAACGTAAAGGAATAAAAAAATGACTGAGGATTATCATACTTTAGCACATAGACGAATTAAGACCATCAGGGTTGGATGGATGAGTTGAACAAACTTTTCCTGTGTACAAAGATTTGACTTTTAACTGATTAAAAATGCCCATCAAAATTTTTCAAAAGAATGGATACTGAACAAAGAGTACTCTTTTCGATAACCCCTTCATCATCAGGCTCTACAGTTATATATAATACATTATAGTGAATGAATGAATGAATTAGTGTTATGAACAACATCAATGTTGCTGTTTAAATAACATCGAATCAATAATAATACCAATAGATTACAGCTCAATAGCGTCAACATAAAATAAGCTGAATGTCAGATAGAGAAATTGGGAAAGATAATATTACAAATTCATGAATTTCTAGTCTCCACTGAAGGTTGGCCAGAGCAGTAGTAGTGGCTGGCTAGACTTGCTTCTTTTGAACACAGAGCACTGGTTGTTTGAGGCGAATTGCGATAGCCTCTGTTGTTCAGAGCATGCGATGCTTCGATGATTTTGGCAATTTATTAGGCACCCGGTAGATTATAGTGAAAGATTTTTCAACGGTGACTGGCTTTGTGGCCGGCTCGCACCAGATGGTCCATTATCGATGGCCATTTCGTTGGCCAAAGAAGGCTTCAGCAATACAGACGCATAGGATACATAATGACTTCAGCAAATTATTTTTCGCCTTCTAAACATAACTTTAAAGGAAGAGGTTGTAGAAAGAGAGAGAGATAGGGTGACCAGTGTGGATTCGATGTTCAATGACTGAGCTTCTTGATAATAAATTCGTTCTTTGAAAAGAGTCTTTTCACTGAATCACTTGTGTTTTGATTTCACCCTTGATTCTCTCTTTTCTATACCTTTTTAGTCCATCAGCATCCCCCATACAAAAGCCTAATGGTAAACGTGTCAAAGAGAGTCGTCGATGGGATAATACGGCAACTGGAGAAGAAGCAGCAGCTTTAGATTTCAGTAGTGGAAATATGAATGGAAAAGAAAAAGCTGAATATGACTTTTCAACTACAGAAATTGAAACGCTTTCACGTCTTCGTGGTACTATGAAAGATGATTTAGACGAGGTTCATGTATCTTCAGATGAAGATGAAGATTTAGAAGTTTTAGAAATTGAAGAAAATGACACTTCTACAACAACAACAGCTCAGAATGGTACTACTCTCACTGGTAATGAATCTCAAAAAGATACACCGACTCAAAATGGTCAAGCAAAGGTTTGTTAGCTAATATGAATCAAATTGATTGAGTATATACTCCTCTATTTAAAACTTATTAATTCGATGAAAGCTATGATACTTTTGAGGAAGTATTGTTCTGATAGTATTTAATTTGGTGGATAGTGACTAACAGTAGAATCCAGGACAACGCACATTTCATCATATTTGAGACTCATCAGCCAGAGGGTGTACCTGCATTCTGCAGTGAGTAATGATGTTCCCACCGCCGAGGCTCGGACCAGTACCCATAGTTTTAAACGCCAAAGCGTTATCCACTAGACCACGAGAGCCACCTCTTGTGCAACCAGTCATATTAATTATTTAATTGAATTTGAGATTTTTCTCGTCGATTGATTGGACCGAAGCGCTCGGTCTCAGGTTAACATGTCGGAACATCATCACTCACTGAGAAATGCAGGTACATCCAGATGACGAGTCCCAAATAGGACGAAATGCGCGTTTTCCTGGATTCCACTGCTAGTCGCCATCCACCACTCTCAGTGTGTTTGAGCACAATGGAGATCACCATTCGTTGAATGTCGTCATCTGGAAACACGGCTTTGGTGGCTTGGACATGTGCTGCGAATGTCATCCCAAAGGCTTCCGTATGGGTCGCTAGCCAGCCCTGGGACGGGATGGAAAAGGTAGAGAGGTAGGTGGTCAGTCCATAATGTGGCGTCGTGGGGTGAAGGATATTTCTGTTAGGTTAGCATCGGTTGGTGCGTCACGACTCTCTGGTTGGAGTCCGAGAGATAGCTCGAATCGATGGCTCGAAACGTTATCAAATATGGCCAATAATCGTAATCACTGGCGAACGTGTTGCAGTTTCCTTCTTTCTTCCCTTCCGATGATAGTTGACGAATACTCTTTGAACTTGTTAAGTATGACTGTTTCCTTCCAAACGAAGAACTTTATCCGTTCTCTACACCTATATTTTTACTTTTAATCTATGTTGTTTTATTATTATTGTGTCTTTCTGTCTGTGTCTTTCTTGGGGACATATTGTACCAAGTTTTTTCTGCATTAAAATAAAATAAAATACTGTTTATAAGATTGTATAACAGTGGTCAAAGTGCAGCAAGTAACTGCACGAATTTCCACTGAACACACAGATTTAGCTTATTTTAGGAGAATTCCGATGGCTTCAACTGTAATGCAGAGGACGAACTTGTGAAGCAAAGTTAATATTGGTCAGAATGTAATAAATAACTTTATCAATAGTTTACCAATGTCAACTTTATGTCTACTATATTCAGGGTATGCTAAAACGGAGCTACGAATAGGTCTTGTTTACCTATTATTATTCTTATTTCCTTTAATTCCTAGAGGAACATAGGGCTTCAGCTGCACGTCTTCATTGCGTTCGGTTCTCTGCCAAAGTTTTCATCACCTGGCTCCATGTCTGCCCAAATGCTTTCATCTCCTCTCTACATCACCTCTTCTAGGTCATCCACACACTGACGACCAACTCGCCACTTCCCTTTCGGGTTCTACTCGAGCAATGGCTTGTCTAGTGATGTCACTTGATGGCGTGTTTTCTCAGAATATAGCCAGTCAATCCATCTCCATTCCTTCCTGCGTATTTGTTTCACAATCGGTTCCTGCTGGGTTGGTTCGCTCACTGCCAGAGATCCCTATTGCTGATCTTTTCTATCCATCTGATCTTGAGTATTGAGCGAAGACAACTGTTGATGAAGGTCTGTAGTTTGAGGTGCTCTTTATGACGCGCCATGTCTCTGATCCGTATAGTAGCACTGATTTCACATTCGAGTTGAAAATCCGGATCTTATTTTTGATGCTGAGTGGTGAGTGTTGACCTCCACACAGACTTGAGAGTTATGAGAACTTGTCTTGCCTTTCCGATTCTGGCTTTGATATCCTCGTCAGTTCCAACTGTAGTTGAGACGATGCTTCCCAGGTAGGTAGGTAGGTAAAGGATGTTGTTTATTTCAGGTTCCTCCCATTCATGCTGGCTGATTGTTGTCTGTTGTTGTTGCTGTTGCTGTTGGTCAGGAATCTTCATCACATCTGTTTTATCCATATTCAGTATTTCAATGCTTCTTCTGCCAGCTTGTTGATTTTCACTTGCATATCTTCCAGTTTGTGGGAAATCAGACATATATCATCGGCGAAGTCCAGATCCTCCAAGTTTTTTGTGTGAGTCCATTTTATACCTGTTTCCTCATAGCCCGTTGTCTGTCGCATTATCCAGTATACCGCCTGCGTTGCATCCACTCCCTGTGACTTATGATTTCCAATGAAACTGTTTTGTATTTCTTTATTACTCCTTTGTCTCACACCTCTGCTCACTGTTTCTATTATGCTTTTCTTGTACTTTCTTCTCTTGCTTCGCGTGCTACACGGAATGTGGCGACTTGAACTTCCGCACATTTGTGCAAAGTTCTATGTCGAAAACAGACAGACAGACAGACATACCGCCCGCGTTCAGGAATAATCATTGGAGATAGTAGGCAACCTTGCCTCACTTCGAAGGATTCCGTAAGTTTCCCATTGTGGATTACTTGGCATGCAGCATTGTCGTATAACTGTTGGATGAGATGTATAATTGTCGGCTGCACCCCTTGGTAGTAGCGAAGTAGTTTCCAAATCACCTCTCGATCGACTCTGTCCGCTGAAGACCTTTTCAAAGTCGATGAAGTTGAGATAGGAGGGTGACTGCCATTCCAAACCTATGCTGGATGGTATTCAGAAATCTGATACTGAACATGCCTAATTGTACATCCAATGTAACTAGCTCCACACGGATTGTCAAACTGGTAAATGTCCGAATGGGTCACCTTTTTCTAAATCAGATTATAACATCACTTTTAAGTTAAATTAAACTCATAACATCGTATCTATTTGTTCTTTTCTTAAAACAGACTGGCTACCTTTCTGGTATCCTGCGTGGTCTACGTATTACTGGTGGTGCTGGACGTGTACTAACTCGTGAAGATATTACACCGTGTTTAGAACAACTTAGAGAACGTCTTGTCGGTAAAAATGTAGCTATGTCGATTGCTGATCGTGTTTGTGCCAGTGTCGCTGATCGTCTTGTTGGCACATCACTTGGAACATTTGAAAGAATTTATCCACGTGTTCGAGCCAGTCTAGAAGAAGTTTGCTCACGTATTCTAGTATCTGGTCGTCGTGTTGATGTTCTACGTGATGCATTGGAGGCGCGTAATCAAGGAAGACCATATAGTATTGTTTTCTGTGGAGTTAATGGTGTTGGAAAGTCGACAAACTTGGCAAAAGTATGTTTTCTACTGTATGTTTTCCACTTAATCGATATTTTTTTTTCATTGATCGGTTATTTTGAGAATAAGTTATTTATTGTATTAATGTTAATTAGCATAGCTATTTAACCTTTGGTGTTAATGGAATTCTATTGATTAAGTTTTCAGTATAGTTTGTTATTAGCTAACTTTTCTGTCTTTCCTTTGTGTTTTGAGTGGAATATGGCGCTTCAAAGCATCAAAGTTTCACCAGGGGGTATTAGCGTTGTTTTTATTTTATTTTTTACAGGATGCGGTGCTCGTCTCATGCCACCCACCCCACCTTTTTTCCCAGGCTTACTACCGGCTGGTAAACTAGGCATTGACGTGTAGGAAGGAGTACCCGTTGGCCGGGAGTCAAAGCCGGGTCGACGGACGTGGTTGACGAGCATGCTACTATTGGATGGCAGATGTTATTAGCTGAGACATCGCTGTTTTTTGCAACTCAGTGTATATGAATGCTGGATTATGGTCCTTACGATTTGACAACTGGTTTCCATGCTCAGTTTAGTTATGCAAGCATGATCTGGATATATCAACACTAAGGAGTCTGATGTCAACAGTCGTCGTATTTGGTTGCAGGATTTCATTATGAGCTGACATTGGTTAGAGAACCATTGGAAAACCTTGGAGTACTGGGCAGCTGTTTCTTCCTAGTTTGGGTCTCTTCATCAGTACGCACCCACAACAGGAGGTTTGAACTCAGGACCTGGTTACAACGCGAGCTCGTAGACCATTAAGCCAGTGGGACCCGGTTCAACAACCCATGAATCCCAGCTTCTGCCAATTCACGATATAGCGCAACCCCTAGCCAATGTCTTCGGTGAGTATTCGTCCTCACACCCGACTTGCTGCACCCTACTGATGGGTGCGTACTGGTGAAGAGTCCCAAACTAGGACGAAACAGCTGTCCAGTACTCCCAGGTTTTCGAATGGTCCTCTAACCAATGTCAGCTCATGATGAAATCCTATAACCAATCAACCAAATCCCTACAAATCAATACTTGAATAGTCGTCATATTTCTTTACCTGAAAGCCGTATTCGATTCCGTTGACCGAGAGGTAATATAGCGATGTTTGGCTGTAAAGGGAATGCCGAGAAAATACATTGCACTGATCAAGGCACTCGCTCTACTCGAAATTATGCAGCCAGCCAGTTGGGAGCCTATGAATGGTTGTCATCTGACAACTGTGATGACGAGTGGTGTGTCCATCAGGGATGCCCACTGTCCCCATTTCTGTTTAATTTCAGGATAGATGTTCTAATGAACTTAGCCCTTAACTGACTTCAGAGACTCAGAGATTGACTTGTTACCATCAGGGAACAATAGTCTCGTTGACTTAGAATATGTAGATGATATAGTCCTGCTTCTTAGTGAGGATGCTGACAGAATCCAGAGTCTTCTGAACACCTTGAGAAGCAGCAATCTTCACTTGTTTGGCATACGATTCGCTCCCACTGTCAAATGTAAGATGATGCTACAGGACTGGACTGGACTGAAATACATTTGATTCCTAGCTTTAAGATAGGGATTAAAGTGGTGACTGAGGGTGTTGACCACTTCACTTATTTGGAGAGTTGCATCAGCCAACACCAGCGGGTTGATCGCTGGGGAGAGTTGTGTATAGAGAGGATGTTCAGGGTTTGACAAGATAATATTCGCTAACTTGCACGGTTCCATGTGTATATCTACAACAGCCTTAAAGAGTTGGTCTAGCAACTCCCGTCTCGGCCTCGTATTGACAGCTTTTAGTGTCCTTCTCTTCGAAGTGTAACAAAGTCTTCCTTAAGTCGTCGTCGAGGAAAGATTAGGCGATGGGGAGCAATCAAGAAAAATAGGTAGAATACAAAAATTATTTTAAAAGTAATGGTTTTGTGGTAATTTTGTTTGTTAGATTGGATGGAGGATTTCATAATGAGCTGACATCAGTTAAAGAACCACTGGAAAACCTGCAGGGAGTGCTGCACAGCTGTTTCGTCCTGGTTTGGGACTCTTCATCAGTACACACACCCCGGCAGGGTTCTAACCCATGACCTTCTGGTTACAAGGCGAGCTCGTAGACCATTGAGCCACTAGGACCCGGTGGGTACGTACCGATGAAGAGTCCCAAACTAGGCTGAAGAGACAGCTGTCCAGTCCTCCCAGGTTTTCCAGTGGTTCTCTGACTCATATCAGCTCATGATGAAATCCTTCATCTAAAAATTATTTTTTAAAAACAACTGTGAAGGTAGAGACTGAGTTATCTCAGATTATCTGAACTTTCTTATGTGGAAAGTTAAACGAAACATCTTTCTATAAACTAATGCGATGTTCACGAAGACCTGGAAAGATCAGATGAAATATATACACCAAGGTATATAACATTCAACTTAACTTTAACCTCATTGTCATCGATGCAATGTGAAAGTCACGTGGAACAAACCAATAGTTCATGTAAGTCTCACTTGCGTATGAAAGTGTGTGAAATTAATAACCTGATATTTGAAAGGATTTAGCGTAAAATCTGCCCTCTTCTCGGGACATCCGGCTATCAACCAAGGGACGTGTGTACTGCTCATCAGTTCGCTCCGTCCTTGTCTATGGCTCTGAAACATGGCCAGTACGCGTTGAAGACATGAAAAGGTTGACTGCTTTCGATCATAGATGTCTGCGATCTCTGTCTCACGTTAGGTGGTTTAATAAGGTAAGTAATGTTGACGTTAGGCGTAGTGTTGGGCAAAGAGGGAAAATCAATCGACGAAGCTATAAAGTTACATAGACTGAGATGGCTAGGTCACGTGCTGCGCACGCCTAACCATCGCCTCCCCCGACGGACATTACTAGCTGATATCGGTGCAGGTTGGAAAAGAGTAAGTGGTGGCCAAACAAAAACATGGCCTCATCAATCCATGAAATCCTTGACAGTTAAACTGAGTCAGATAGGGAGATGCAGACTTCCAGGTTGGGGGCCTCAGGACTCTAGGAATCAATGACTGGAGACAATAGGTGACATGGCTCAAAATCGTTGTCAATGGCTAGCGCAGATGTATTCAGTCTCTGTAATCTTTCATATTCCTTTCTACCATTACCCATTCTGTTTCACTCTTATACTTGTCAAACTCTATTGATTCTCTTCACTCATCTTCTTGTCTACCTTTGTGTGCTATTTGGAATGTGGTAACTGGAACTGCCGCAATTCGGTGCCAGACAGACAGACTTCTCGGGACTTATCAATCAGTACTAAACCCAGGTGGAATTTAAAAATGCGTTGCGAAATCGAACTCAAACCACGTCTATGGTTCTCAAGGGTTGTACCACTGAACAGATCTATGAAGAAGTGTCCACCTTGCTTTGTTTGTAGTTTATTCGTTGGTAAATTCATATTTTCTTCTTCTCTTCAGAAATCGTATGTTCTTTCTATTACACACTTTTGTCAATTCACTCAGGTTTTTGCTTTTTTTGTTTGTTTTTGTTTTTTTAATTTTTCTAGATCGCTTTTTGGCTTATTGAAAAGAATTTCCGTGTCCTTATAGCTGCCTGTGATACATTTCGTTCTGGTGCTGTGGAACAATTACGTACACATGTACGTAAATTGAATTTCATTCATCCATCAGATCAACACGGTGGACAAATTATGGTTGAATTATATGAACAAGGTTATGGTCGTGATGCTGCATCCATAGCACGATCTGCAATCAATTATGGTGCGTATGCGTATATCATTGCTTTTGATTGTTGTTATTCAAAGGAGGAAATCGATAGAGGGAGAGCTCTTTCTGGATTTATGTTTTTTTTTGCTTGTCGGCACTCAGCAGCAGTCATCAAGGAGTATCCGCAACCTTGAAGGAATTCACATCCCCCTTCTGAGATTTGAACCCGTGTCACCCAGTGTTGCAGTTAGATACATTAGGGCTTCAAACTTTAGCTTTGAAGTTTCAGTAGAAGTGTTTTTATTTTTATACCGAATGGGATCGCTAGCTGTATGCACAACCTTCCTCTTTCATTACCGGCCTTACTCCTGGCTAAGTGAAGTTAAGGAGTGCATCAGCCCGGTGATCAAACTGTAACAACAGAAGACAAGGGCCAGGCAACAGATCGTTTATTTAAGAAATCAACACATATTTATAGATTTTCATGTACATTATTATTATTGTTAGCAGAAAAACACAGTCTTCTGATTGGTGGTTGTTTCTCACTGAAAGTTAATCTTTCATCTCTTTGTGGCCATTTCTTGAAGTTCAGATTATCTATCTGCAAATTGTATCCGTCTACTCAAAGTCTGCTGTAATTGGTTGTTGAATCAGTCTTTGTTCTTATTTTTCCCATGACCAATATTGGGGACATAAACACTGACGTAAATTACTGTCTACCAATTTTGGCTAGCAGTCAGCTCTCACCACAAAACCACAATCGTGGTTGGTGAACATTCTATTACTGAGCCACCGACTTCAATCACAGACGTTACCACTAAGCTATTCGCACTAGCTAGCTGTAGGACTGTACTGGATACTTCACTGATAGAATTCAGTTTGCATCAGATAAAGGATTAGATGCATGATACTAGTGTAACAGCGGAGGGCAGGACACTTACTGTGAGAATAATATTCCCCTGGAACCCATTGTCTATATCACACCACCACATTAGCAATTGCTAACTGCTCGGTGTTCAATCAAAGTAACTGTTTTGATTTCACCTTTTTATTTTGTTGTAATTTTTAAATAGTTACTTAATTGATTCGTCACTATGCACAAAGTTCTTTTCTCTCCTTCATATTATTAATTGTTTGTGTGTTCCGTTCTTCTCCCAATAGCTCGTGATCGTCATTTTGATGTTGTTCTTGTGGATACAGCTGGACGTATGCAAGATAATGAACCACTGATGAGAGCTTTAGCTTCAGTAGGTTACATTGTTTATTGATTTGTTTAAAATAACCATTCATATACCCTCGCTGATGTCTTGATGATATAAATTGAACGGGCACGTTATCTGACGACAACAGTTTTTCATTTTGCACGTACCTGACGCTTCTTTTTCATTCCTTTACGTTCCCAGTGGAATATAGGGCGGCGGCACCCTTCAAGCTAGAGACTTGTAGTTTCGGTAGCAGCAGTGGTGTTTATTTTTACGGGTTGCGGTTGCTAGCCAGCCTCATGCCCAACCTTCCGTCTTCACCAGCCTTATTACTGGCTTGGCGAGGTAAAGGAGTGCGTCTGTGGCCAGGGATTGAACCCCAGACCACATGAGGCGTGGTTGGCGAGCATTCTACCGCTGTGCCATCGATGCTTGTACTTGACACACGTATTGCTTGGTCATATACCATTAGGCGACATAAATCTCATCATAGTAGTAGGTAGTGTGATGTTTAAACCCTTTGGCGGCCGCCTACAGCTTCAAATAAAAGTAATAAAGACCTACGGAGCACATCTTCATTTCATTCTACTTTTTACAGTCTTTGTAAGTTGCTGTTTTCATGATTATTTATAAGTTTTCATTCCCTCTTGCCATGAATTCTTTCATGTCGCCCTCTGACCTACTACTCATTTGTCATCTCTCATTCAGGTCCCACTCGATGATATACCTGGAGTGTTGTGATGTTACTATTTGGTGGTCGTTTCAGTGTTTATCCAATCCACCTCTGTTTTGCTCCAATTCGCCACTAAGAAAGAAGTGTACATCAAGCTACTCTATGTGGGTCATCATAGCGGCTTGAATACTAGATAAGGATTGAACTTTGCGGTTAAAAAAGACTTTTTGTACAGCTAATATCATAATAATTGAGAATATGAAGCCGATATATGCATCCACTTAAGCCCTTAGAACATGCGAAAAAATGATGTCACATCCTCCCATCGTATTTACCAATTTGAATGTACATGTGGCCATACATACATACATACATACATAGGGAGGACAAATCGATCTCTGCAAGTCAGGACTGGCTTCCGAGCATATTCCTAAATATAATCCCCCAGAACCAATTAATGATGAGAGCATGTGACTTGTTTCCTCTATATTGCAAAACATATTATAGAGGAGACAGGACATAAAATAGATGTTTAGACATCTTTTACACCTATCCATCCATAAAACGCGCTTGGGGCGTATTATAAAGTTTGTGGAAGCCCAAATGTGATTAAGAAGTTTAAGCCATCTTTATGCGCTCAAAGCGCAACAATTCGTCATCGCACTAAACCTTCCTTGGTAAAGTTTGTTTTGATACATACCAGGGTAGATGTACTATTACTTCTACTATTCGGTTTAGTGATCTTCATTGTTATTTTGACCTTTTAACTTAACCTACATTCATCATTTTCTCACCCATTAACTCTTTATTAATTTCATATATATATATATATATATATATATATATATATATATATATATATATATATATATATATATATATATATATTGATTCCTGTGACAAGTCCGTGTGTGATGGATCAGATTGTTCGAAATGTGTTACACGCTAATACATTACACTATTCTCAGACAAATTACGTCTTCTTATTCATAAAGGGAATTAAATGTTTTAAATTTTGCCTCATTATTGTCTGTCTGTCTGTTTTCGACATAGAACTTTGCACAAATGTGCGGAAGTTCAAGTCGCCACACTCCGTGTAGCACGCGAAGCAAGAGAAGAAAGTACAAGAAAAGCATAATAGAAACAGTGAGCAGAGGGGTGAGACAAAGGAGGAGTAATAACGAAGAACAAAACAGTTTCATTGGAGATCATAAGTCACAAGGAGTGGGTGCATCTGCGCCAACCATTGAGAACGATTTTGAGCCATGTCACCAATTGTTTCCAACCATTGATTTTTACCGTCCCGAGGACCCCAGCCTGGAAGTCTACACCTTCCTACGTGGCTTAGACCAACTGTTGTGGATTTCATTGACTGGTGAGGCCAAGTTTTTGTTTGACCACCGCTAGCTTTTTTCCAGCCTGACCCTATATCCGCTAACATTGCTCGTCGAGGGAGGCGATGATTAGGCATACGTGACACATGTCCTAACCATCTCAGTCTTTGTAACTTCACGACCTCGTCGATTGATTTCCCCTGTTTACCTAGAACTCTACGCCTAACCTCAATGTTGCTCACCTTATTATTATTATTATACCTGATAAGATAGTGAGTAATAATATTGAAAGAGGACTTAAATTGAATAAGACGGCTAAGATAAGTGTTATGCATTATGAGCTACTGACACTGATTTATTCGTTGTATTGCGAAAAAGTTCGAGGTAGTCAAATTAAAACCTATAATAAATCCATGCAGTCTTTAAATGTTGGCGGCTGGAGACAATTGGTGTATTATGCCTCAAAATCCTGGCACAGATGTATTCACTCTTTGTGATTTATGATATCCAATAAAATTCTATTGTTCTTCCTTATTACTATTCTTCTATTGAAAAGTCGTGACCAGTAGGGTGCAGCACGGCTGTGAGACCTGGCCATTGAGAGTAAAAGACGTGAAAAGATTAGCTGTCTTTGATCATAGGTGCCTGTGTTCTATTTCCCATATGAAGTGGTATAATATAAGGTGAGCAACATTGAGGTTAGGCATTGGTCGGGTGCTAGGCTGTTAAAGAGGGGACATCAATCGACGAGGCTGTGAAGCTACATCGACTTAGATGGTTAGAACATGTGTTACGTATGCGCCTAGTCATCGCCTTCTTCGACAATGGGCAATGTTAGCTGATATAGGGTCAGGCTGCAAAAGAGCTAGTGGCGGTCAAACCAAAACCAACATGGCTTCATCAGTCAATGAAATCTACAACAGTTAAAGCCAGTCATGTAGGAAGGTGTCGAATTCCTGACTGGTTGGAGTCCTCAGGACGGTAAAAACCAATGGAGGCTGGAGACAATTGGTGACATGGCTCAAAATCCTCGTTCTCAATGGCTGGCGCAGATGCATCCACTCCTTGTGACTTATGATTTCCAATGAAAGTATATTGTTCTTCGTTACTACTATTCCTTTGTCTCACACCTCTGTTTACTGTCTCTATTATACATTTCTTCTACTTTCTTCTTTTGCTTTGTGTGCTACAAGGAGTGGAGTGTGGCGACTTGAACAGCCGCACATTTGTGCAAAGTTCTATGTCAAAAACAGATAGACAGAGGATGCAGCAGGTCGGGTGTGAGGACGAATACTCGCCGAAGACATTGGCTAGCGGTTGCACCTTATCGTGGATTGGCAGAAGTTAGAATTCATGGGCCATTAGACCGAGTCCCAGTGGCTTGATTGTCTACGAGCTAGCTTGCCGTGTAACCAGAAGGTCCTGGTTTCGAACCTCTTGTGGTGGGTGCGTACTGCTGAAGAGTCCCAAACTAGAGCGAGACAGCTGTCCAGTACTCAGTGGTTGTTTTCCAATAGCTCTCTAACTGATGTCAACTCATTATGAAATCCTGTAACCAACTATTATTTTTCCCGCATATTTCTGTTTATTGTCTCTCTTTTAAATCTCTGTTTAATGTCTTCTCTTGCTTTGTGCACTACACGGAGGGAGTGTGGCAACTCGAAGTGTGCCCCACACTCTGAAATCGCCGATAAGATATCTTTGCTGAACTGTATGTTCTTTTCAATCTAATGTTCCGATGGGTATTTTCCACGATTTAAGGATTCTGTGTCACAAGGAATCGAAACTCACCCCCTGTATTCGGTGGGAGGGGCTATCACTTCTTCTACTATTGTGAATCACCGATGGAATTGTAACCCAGATTACGAATAGCATAAATTTAACATTTATTATTATTATTATATCCTTTAATTCCTAGAGGAACACAGGGCTTCAGCCACGCGTCTTCATTGCCTTCTGTTTTCTACCAACTTTTTCACCCCGCTCCAAGTCTGTCCACATGCTTTCATCTCCTCTTCACATGACCTCCTCAAAGTCACCATTGCACTGACGACCAACTCTCCGCTTCCCTTTCGGGTTCCACTCGAGTGATGGCTTGTCTAGTGATGTCACTTGGTGGTTTCCTTAGCGTATGGCCAATACATCTCCATTTCTTCCTGCCTATTTGTTTTACAATCAGTTCTTGGTTGGTTCGCTCCCAGAGATCTTTGTTGCTGATCTTTTCTGGCCATCTGATCTTGGGTGGAGCATTGAGCGAAGACAACTGTTATTGAAGGTCTGAAGTTTGTTTGAGGTGATCTTTATGACGCGCAGTACAAGTCTCTTATCCGTATAATAGTACTGACTTCACATTGGAGTTGAAGATCCGGATCTTATTTTTGATGCTGAGTGCTGTTGACCTCCACACAGACTTAAGAGTAATGAAGGCTTTTCTTGCTTTTCAGTTTCTGGCTTTGATATCCTCGTCAGTTTCGCTGGCGTGTAGTTGAAACGATGCTTCCTATTTGGATAGGTAAAAGAGGTTGTTTCTTTCAGGTTCCTCCCATTTATTCTGGCTGATTGTTGTCTGTTGTTGTTGTTGCTGTTGATGTTGGCCAGGAATCTTCATCACCTCTGTTTTCTCTGTGTTTACCTGAAGTCCTTCCTGTCTTTGATGCTTCTTGTGCCAACTTGTTGCTTTTCACTTACATATCTTTCAGTTTGTGGGAAATCAGACATGTATCATCGGCGAAGTCCAGATCCTCCGAGTTCTTTGTGTGAGTCCATTTTATGCCTGTTTCCTCATTCCCCGCCCCTGTCTGTCCTATTATCCAATCTACTGCAATCAGGAAAATCATTGGCGGTAGTAGACAGCCTTGTCTCACTGCCGTCCTCACTTCGAAGGATTCCGTAAGTTTCCCGTTGTGGATTACTTGGCATGCAGCATTGTTGTATAACTGTTGGATGAGTTGTATAATTGTCGGCGGCACCCCTTGGTAGTAGCGAAGTAGTTTCGAAATGACCTCTCGATCTACGCCGTTCGCTGAAGGCTTTTTCAAAGTCGATTAAGTTGAAATGGAGAGGTGATCACCATACCAAGCTTTGTGTAATGATGATCGTAGTGTGGCGATTTGATTAATACATGACTTGTTCCTCCTGAATCCAGCCTCTTACGGTCGAAGTTTTTCATTCAGGTTGGATTGTTTGATTCACTCTAGGATCAAAATTTATTTACTGTTTTTGTGATCAATCGTTTCATTTTTGTTATCGTTTGTTTGTTTATTTTTTGTTTGTTCCCTCTCCCCCCCACACACACCCACTTTCAGCTGATTCAACTTAATCAACCAGATCTTGTATTATTTGTCGGTGAAGCATTGGTTGGTAATGAAGCAGTTGATCAATTGGTTAAATTTAATCAAGCACTAGCTGACCACAGTTATTCTGATCGTCCAAGAACAATTGATGGTATTGTCTTGACTAAATTTGATACAATTGATGATAAGGTGAGTTGATTCGTCGTAGTGTTAACGTGAGTGTGTGTGTGTTTGATACTCTCTTCCCTTTCTTTCTTTAAATGTAGTCAGTCTGTGATTCTATTATTTATTAAGAAAAACACTAATAAAACATACTTTGGGTACATTTTATTAGTGTAGAAATTGTTGAGGTAATGCATTGAGCAAAAGAAAAGTCTTTTTGTGGACATATCGTTTTTGTAATCTATTAGTGTCATTTATATAACGACTGTCATCTGACACCAATTATTATTATTATTATTGAAGGTCGAACTCAGTGGTGCCTCTTGGTATCTATCGCTTAGTGCACGCACCATAGGAATCAGACGCTTATACTAAAGATATTGAAGAAACACATACAGGCCCCTATTATTTGATGAATAATAAGACCGCTGATGTGGTTCATTATCTTGAACTATCGGGTGGCGACTTGGCTCACTAGCTTAAGCGTTCAGCTTCCACTCAGTCAACCTCGGGTTCGAATCCCATTCCACCTACCCCAGCCTGGGCAAATGAGGAGTATCCCCAACCCTTACACAATAAAAAGTGTGACTTATTGCCTGGGACATGAAATGCTTGTTCTGAGGACTGAGTTTAAAAATCAGGTTTCAGTTTCGAATCCTGCCCTATCCACTTCAGTTTGCACAAATGGATGGTATCATCAGTTGTCACATATTAGCTTTATAGCCTGGTACATGAAACACTTGTTTGAGGGGAGCTGAGTTCGAATAAGGCTATGATGCCACTGGTCAAGAAAGTTAACTTTCAACCTCTATAAAAGTTCACCGATTTGGGCGTAAATAGGCAGTATCATTATAATGAATGTGCATCGGTGGCACAGCAGTTAGGACGCTCGCCGACCATACACACATAGTCCGGGGTTCGGTTCCCGGCCACAGACGCACTCCTTTACCTCGCTAAGCCAGAAATAATGCTGGCAAAGAGGAAAGGTTGGGCATGAGGCTAGCAACCTCATCCTGTAAAATTAAACACTGTTGCAGAAACTTCAAGCCACTAGCTTGAGGCCCTATGTTCCATTGGGAGCGTGAAGCAAAATAAAACTCGATTGATACATTATGGGCATCTAGAGATGCTCCACACAACATCTTACAGTTTATGCTAGGGCTGAAATACTACGCGGATCCCTAAATGCCTTAGCAGTTGGTTTCCTTAAGGGGGCCACACACCCCTCCCCGATCCTTTGACTTGAAGTCTGACGCACAAAGTAGTGGAGCAGAGTTAGGAGCTACTTTCCTATGGCCGATGGTGACCAAAACGGGTTTATTCATTCGACATTTGACATCCATTTGGATTCTGGAGCTCTTAGATAGATTCGAATATCCACGAGTTTGTTCGTAGGCGTCAGACTTTCGCTTTGGCTCTTTCACTTTTGTGGGGCTGACTCCTATTCCCTAGTGAAGACAGGGAATAAAACCTACCTAGTCGTCAGAGCCTATGAACGCGCAGTCACATGAGATTATTTCCAGGAGAAGACCAAAGTCTACCATCCAACCCTTTTTCCTACTAGGCCGTTTATGAACGCACTTCACATTAATAATAATGGTAATAATAATGTAGCTTTATTAGATGGCTGGAGCCAATCGACAGGAAGCCTTGGTTGCACCTAGGTTTCGTGCTAGTTGGCACTCGTCAGCAAAGCGTATCTGCAACGTTGAAGAAACTCCAATCAGTCGCGAACCCGAATAGCTCGGTGGTAACGTCTCTGACTGCAGCACTGGATGACATGGATGATTCGAATCTTAGAAGGGACATGAGTTCTTCGAAGATTACAGGAACGCCTTGCTGACTGACTGACTGACTGGTGTGAGTGCCAGCAAGCATGAAACCTAGGTCCAACGCTTCCAACCAATTGCCTCCAAGCATCTAATATCATCAAATCAATGTGTGCACTGTGATGGCGAGCTACACCTACCTAGTGGCATGGTGACCACATTGCAAACCTGATTGACTGATAGAATTCAGTCTACACCAAACTCCAAGGACTCGACACATCACACTAGTTACTATTGACCAATCAATAAAGCTTTATTTCAGACAGTATGTAAACCCCGTAGTACAGAAATTTCTAACGTAATTAGTTCCACAACATTTCCTCTTCAAATAAGATTTACACGTAAAGTAATAATCTGAAGTATATCCTGTGATGTAGCATCCTTGCATCTGAAGAGAGAACCAATTCTGTATAATTTTTGTACATTTCCTTGTAGAATTGCACAGCGTTTCTTGGGAAACTAACTAAATGTGCTCGCGAGTTCGTGTAGCCGTCATTTGATATATAATTTCATGATTGAAACGATTAGAAATGGAAAATAGTTTAAGCACATTTTGAATGAGTGAAAATTTTGCCAGTTCATTGCTTTAATTAAGCTCAGGACGTCGAGACATCCATTTACTAGGTAGGTAATTACAACACTCCCTGATTTTCACGAGATCCCCAACATACTCACTCGTCGCAGTCTCTCTTTTACAAGACCAAAACAACATGCACTATGATCCTGTGGCTGCAACCAGTTGAGATCCTCCTCTCCCGACGGATCAGCCTTACTAATGACCTAACTAGTCCCTGGGTCATCCTATCTAGTAGACGCAACTGTTAACCAGATCTTGATGTGGTTGTGTTCTCTGAGCTAACTGGATAGTTAATTTGAGAAGCTTTCATCGCCCCCCTACTAGGCGACATCTTCAGTGCATACTTCAATTCGATGAAGTGAGCTTTTCAATTTCCCACCAGTTTATTAGTCATGTCTCCTGGTGGTGGTAACCTTGGAAGTGATTGGTTGTTTTTGTGTGTTTTCACACCCTCCAGGCAGCTACTTGTATTGGAACTGATTGTTTCTTTGACTTGAACTTTAACACTTTGTGTGTGTGTGTGAGGTTTCTTTCTTATCGGTTGATAAATTTTCTCTGTCTTGATGTGTCTATTGATTGATGATTCACTGGAATGCCAGGTGGGCTTCTAAAAATCCTCTATCATTTTTGGCGTTCCCTCTGTCTAATATACGAACGCTGGTTGTCGCAGTCGAATTGATGTCCGTGGTTGTCTGTATGTAGTGATATGAGAAATGGAGTGGATGTCAAGTCTTATGACGGCTAACTTATGTTCGTGGATACGAAGACGAAGAGGATGGGTGTCCACTTTGCCCAATGTAGTGTTTCTCGCAGTTGTTACAATTTAGTTTGCTAGCAAAAGAAACCATGGAGCAATTACGTAGCAACGACGAACACCTTTCACAATAATCAAAAATGCAACACACAAGCTGGATGGAACGCTTAAACCTATGCCTAACAACGTACTTCCAATTCAACGGCCAAATATATGAACAAGTCATAGGAACACTCATGGGATCGCCATTAACACACAAAAGGAGTTGCATACAAACACTATTCAAGAGGGCAAGGACTCATTGCAGCACTCCCACCTTAAGGAAAATTGAAGAAAGATATCTCATGGACGTCTTCCAAAAGAATGAATATCCACGGAATTTCATCAAGAGACATATACCCCCAAGCCAACCTACCAAAGCAAAAGCCACCAAGGAAAGCACAAAGAAAATCGCCTTACCATATATAAAGGATATCTCAGAAATCTCTGCAAGACTCTTCAAACCTTTAGGAATTGACGTCGTACACAAACCGACAAGGTCACTTCACTCCATTCTATGTCAACCAAAAGACTCAACAGCGAAAGAAGATAAAACCAATATCATCTACAAAATAAATTGTAACAACTGCGAAAAACACTACATTGGGCAAAGTGGACACCCATCCTCTTCGTCTTCGTATCCACGAACATAAGTTAGCCGTCATAAGACATGACATCCACTCCATCACTCATATCACTACATACAGACAACCACGGACATCAATTCGACTGCGACAACCAGCGTTCGTATATTAGACAGAGGGAACGCCAAAAATGGTAGAGAATTTTTAGAAGCCCGCCTGGCATTCCAGTGAATCATCAATCAGTAGACACATCGAGACAGAGAAAATTTATCAACCGATAAGAAAGAAACCTCACACACACACACAAAGTGTTAAAGTTCAAGTCAAAGAAACAATCAGTTCCAATACAAGTAGCTGCCTGGAGGGTGTGAAAACACACAAAAACAACCAATCACGTCCAAGGTTACCACCACCAGGAGACATGACTAATAAACTGGTGGAGAAATTGAAAAGCTCACTTCATCGAATTGAAGTATGCACTGAAAATGTCGCCTAGTAGGGGGGCGATGAAAGCTTCTCAAATTAACTATCCAGTTAGCTCAGAGAACACAATCACATCAAAATGATCATCCACCTGAGCTACAAATCTTCTCTATCATATCAAAATCTTACGAGTTAGCTAGATTCCCCTACCCCCTAACATCACCACAACTTTAATCTTATCCACACTTAGTTTTATTTAGTATAGGCTGACAAATTATTCCTCTCTACCTCTCTGTCGTTTCTTTTTCTGATGACTAGGTTGGAGCTGCTATCTCCATGGCGTGTATTTCAAATCAACCAATTGTATTTGTTGGTACTGGTCAAACCTATTCAGATCTACGTCAATTATCAGTGAATGCTGTTGTCAAAGCTTTAATGAAATAAGTGTGTAGTTTGTGAATTCCATCGTGTTGATGTTGAATTGATGGTCTTTGTTTTGTTTTATTTCATTTTTTTCTTTCTTTGTTTTTCATTTGATCATATTTCTCTCTTCTTATTACGTAATAACTTACTTTCAATGTTATCTTTATTAATTATATGATTGATTATGATTTCATATAATGAATGATCGACTGAATGTGAGGGCGTTGTCTTGAATCGATCTCATTTCTCACGGCCACCCCTTCCATCGCTCCCTCTCCTTCTCACTTGTTCTTCCCTGTCACACATGTTTATTTCTGTCTCAAGCCAACCCCCCCCCCCCAACCTCAGGTTAGTCATCATCATTATTTTTCGCTAGTTTCACAGTTTCTTTCACCACCACACATCCTCACTTTATTATTCTCCTTATTATTATTACTTCTTACTTTGTAGCAATATTATCATTATCATTATTGGTAATATTACGTAATCTATGTGATAACTCCACATTAGAAGTTTTATCTCTTCATTATTATTGATTTATTTTCTTTTTATTTGAGACGATTATTGTCACTTGTTACCTAATCATCGTCAACATCATCACTACTATGAGAGTTTGTTTTATGCACATGTCTTCTTTTGTTTGTTTATGTGTGTGCGCGTGTTGTTCTTTCTGATTCCATTGTAGTCACTAGTAGTAATCGTGATATACTTATTTTATTGTATGCGTTTTGTTTGTGTGTTTGCCTGTCTGTCTCTCTTTCTGTGTGTTTGTGACCTGAAGTGATAATATATCTGTACATTGTATCATTGGTCTTTCTACATCGTCTCTTTTTGCCTTGGGAGAATAACTGTCTGTCTGTTTTCGACATAGAACTTTGAACCGATGTCCAGCAGTTCAAGTCGCCACACTCCCCTCCATGTAGCGCATAAAGCAAGAGAAGAAAGTAGAAGAAATGTATAATAGAGACAGTGAACAGAGGTGTGAGACAAAGGAATAGTAGTAACGAAGAACAATATAGTTTCATTGGAAATCATAAGTCACAAGGCGTGGACGCATCTGCGCCAGCCATTGAGAACGAGGATTTTGAACCATGTCACCAATTGTCTCCAGCCTCCATTGGTTTTTACCGTCCTGAGGACTCCAACCAGTCAGGAATTCTACACCTTCTTACGTGACTGGCACTCGACGCCTAACCTCAACATTGCTCACCTTATTATACCACTTCGCACGGGAGATAAAACGCAGGTGTACCTATGATCAAAGACAGCTAATCTTTTCATGTCTTCGACTCTCAATGGCCAGGTCTCACAGCCAGCCATAAAGGAGGATGGAGCGGGCTACTGAGCAGTACACACGCCCTTTGGTTGATAGCCGGATATCACGTCTATTGAGCCAGAGACGGCATAAACTGCAAAACTAGCCTTCTGTATCCGTGCGGAGATTTCGTCGTAGATCAAACCGTTGGGGTTGATGATACTTCCCAAATAAGTGAAGCGGTCAACGTGCTCTACCACGTCACTTCCTATTTCTAATCTAGGAGTCGGTGTAGTCCAGTCCTGTAACATCATCTCCCATTAGGCGGAAGCGAATCTCATGCCAAACATTCGTAGATTGCAGCTCAAGGTGTTTAGAAGACTCTGCTGGATTTTATCAGCGTCCTCACCTAGAAGGACTATATCGTCTGCATATTCAAAGTCAACGAGACTATTTTTCTCTGATGGTAAAAAGTCAATCCCTGAGTCTCTGAAGTCAGTTAGGGTTAAATCCATTAGTACGGTATCTATGATGAAATTGAATAGAAATGGGGATAATGGGCATCCCTGACGGACACCACTTCAGATGACAACTCGCCATAAGTCCTCACCTGGCTGCATGGGAGAATAACAGATTATAAAATTACCGTAAAACGTATTGTGTGTGTGTATGTTTATAGTTTTGTTTTAAGTTTGATCACAGATTGTGATATCATATTTTGGAGAGTACTACCATCGAAAACCAACTGGTTTGTCCTGGACAACTGTATCGTTCTAGTCTGGAGCTCTTTTCACCAGTAGGTATCCATAAACCCATCCACCAGAGTTGACCGACTGGTTGAGGCGTAGAAGCTTGCCCAGAAATGCACCAGTTTTCAAGTGTGCCACACTGCATGAAGCAAGCAGATAAAAGAAGTGATACTACCAGTGTAACAACAGAAGACAAGGGCTGGCAACAGATCGTTTTATTATGAAAATCAACACGTATTTATACATATTTCAACTACATTATTATAGACAAGCGCAGTCATCTGATTGGTTGTTTATCAGAAGTTAGGTAGACAAACGCAGGCTTCTGATTGGTTGTTTCGGGATTCCTTGACAAATAGAGTTCTCTATCTGCGAATCATATTTTGCCACGTTAACTTTGCTGTGATTGGTTGTTGACTCAGCCTTGTTCATATTTTCTCACGGCCCATATTAGTGACCTAGACCTTAACGTAGATTAGTGCCAACCAATCGGCTAGCAGCCTGCTCTCACCACACCAGAATACTACTACTACTAATAATAATATGGGAGTACTGGGCAACTGCTTCGTGCTGGTTTGGGACTCTTCATCAGTACGCACCCACCACAAGAGGTTCGAAACCGAGACCTTCTGGTTACAAGGCGAGCTCGTAGACTGATGTCAGCTCATGATGAAATCCTCCTCCAACCAATCAAACTGAATCCCTACAAAAACCAATTGTTGAAAATTCATCTGATGCTCACTGGCGACTGGTCCTATTCAGCCATTGACCTGGGGATCTAGTGGGAAGTCGTGACCAAGTAGGGTGAGGCAGTAACTCATCGAAGAAGACATTGAGAAGTGGTCGCGCTTTGTCATGAATTAGCTAGTAGAAGTTAGAATTCATGTGTTGGCCATTGGATTGGCTTGTCCCAGTGGCTTAATGGTCTACGAGTTAGCTCACTAGCCTTGTAACCAGACGGTCGTGGGTTCGAACACTGGTAGCAGTGAGCGCGTACTGATGAAGGCCGGAGAAACAGCCAGCTGTGCAGTACTCTGTGGCTGGTTTTCCAACGGTTCTCTAACTGACGTCAGCTCATGAATCCCTGTAAAAACCAATACATGGAAACAATAATAATAATAGTAAGCAAAAGTGTCAGAGAAAAAGAATGATGACATGAAAAAACGATAGGGCTGTATTGGATATGCGTTTATCTGCACAATTGAGAGCGATCTCGAGTCATAACACAATTAGTTTGAAGCCATTGGTCCTTAGAATTCCGAGGACGCCAGACAGTCTACACTTCCCTAAGTAGCTGGCTGAAACTAACTCTTAAAGATTTCCTTGACTGATGAAGCCATGTTTTCACTTGACCACCACTAGCTATCTCTTTTTCCAACCTCAACGATCCTATGTCAGCTTAGCTTCCCCTTCGAGGAAGGCGATGACTTGGCATACAGCTTCATAAATTCATTGATTGACTTCGCCTATTTACCTCAGACTCGACTTCTTACCTCAATATTACTTCCTTGATTATACCGCCTAACATATTTATTTATTTAACCTTGGTACAATATGACACCAAGAAAGATGCGCCACACAATAATAATAAAACAACATAGATTAAAAGTAAAAAATATAAGTAGAGAATCGATAAAGAACTTCATATGAAAGGAAAACAGTCATGCTTAACAAGTTCAAAGAGTATTCGTTAACTATCATCGGGAAGGGAAGAAAGAAGGAAATTGCAACACGTTCGCCATTAACGAATGCGATTCTTCGCCATATCTGATAACGTTTCGAGCTATCTCGAGGACCCCAACCAGGGAGTTGTGACTCACCAACCGATGCTAATCTAGCACAAACATCCTTCATCCCACGACGTCACTTCATGGACTGACCACCTACCTCTCCGCCTTTTCCATCCCGTCCCAGGGTGGCTAGTGAACATAGACCTATACGAAAGCCTCCGGGATGACATTCGTAGCACATGTCTAAGCCAATGGAGCCGGTGTTTCCGGGTGACGACACTCAGTGAGTGGTGATCTCCACTGTGTTCAGACACACACCGCCGAACCTCAGAATTACTCACGCGATGATGCCATCGAACGCATGTACTCCTACGGAGGCAGCGACGATCGGATACGCAGAGCCGCTGCACATCCTCATATCGGAGAGGCCAAGTTTCACAGGCGCAGAGCAAGACAGCCCGCACCGTAGCATTGTATACCCAACCTTTGACAGCCAGGCTAACGCCGCGGCGGTGCCATAGGTGGCTGAAGTTGATGTATGCCACTCTAGCCTTCATTATACGGTTGGGAATCTCATCCGTCACCCCTCCGCCAGAACTCACACAACTACCCAGGTACACAAAGTTATCAACAAATTCAAGCGGATCACCCGCAAGAGTGAGTGCAGGTACAGGCTCCTTTCAATCTTGTAACAGTACTTTGCACTTAGACGGCGCAAAGGACATTCCATAACTACAGACACTGATCACCAACTGATTAAGTGCGATTTGGGCAGCCTGCATGCTATCACACAGTAAGACTATATCGTCTGCATACTCGAGGTCGAAAAGTCTATCTCCAGGTAGCAGATCTACACCATCTTCACGCACATGCTTTAGAGCTGACTCCAGAATGCCATCGATGGCAAAGTTAAAGAGAAATGGAGAGATTGGGCCACCCTGTCTAACCCCACTGTTTGTTGGGGACAGTGATGATAGTTGGTTGTATGCCCTCACTCTACATGAGGAGGTGTTTCTGTATAGGGCTTTCAAGATGTTAACAAATTTCTCAGGTACACCTCTCTGTAACAGAGAGTTCCAGAGCCCAGTTCTGTCCAACGAATCGAAGGCAGCCCTAATATCAAGAAACACAACGATTGTTGGCTTGCAATGAGTGTGGTGGTGTTTCAACAACTGACGAAGGGTTGACACGTGATCAATGTATCCACGACCTGAACGAAACCTAGCCTCCTCTTCGCGAATCAATCCCTGACGTATTTTGCACAGCCTGTGGAGCAAGACAGCAGCCAATATTTTAGACGCGACTGGTAGCAGACTGATACCCCAATGATTGTCACACGAATTACGTCGACCCTTTTTAAAGATGGGGACAATAATGGCTTCGTTCCACATTGATGGTACACTCTCAGTCTCCCATACCTTCTTGAACAACCCAGTAAGAGCTATTATGAGAGTCTCGCCACCATCTTTAAAAAGAGCCGGGGGTAATTTGTCTGGGTCGGGCGCCTTATGGCCTTTTAACACTTGGAGTTCCTTACGCACCTCCGCTTCGGTGGGTCTTTACCTCAATATTACTTCCTTGATTATACCACTCAACGTAGGAAATAGAACGCAGGCATATAAGACCTTTTTATGCCTTTCACCATCTAAGATCATGTCTCACTGCCACAAAGGAGTGAACTGCTCTGAGCAGTACACACGTCGTTTGGTTAACAGCCAGCCGGATATCACGTCTATTCTTCCGGAGATGATGCAGGTGAGCAGATGCCACATGAGCCTTTTTTGTATCCATGCTGAGTTGTCGTCAGAAATCAGTCCGTTGAGGGTGTTACAAGTTCCTAAATATAAATGAAGCAGTCAACACGTTCTACCGAGTGATTCCATATCTTCAAGTTAGGGGTCAATGTGTATTCCAGTCTTATAGCATCATCTTACATTTGACAGGAGCAAATCATATCCTACCCCCACCAGCAACTGAATCCACGACCTTCAGGTTACGAGGCAAAACCCGTTAACTGCTCAACTCCTGCGACGAACAGAATCCTCCAATGAGAGTGGCCCATGAATTCTAACT